ACTATGCGCGTGGTAGGCGTCCCCCATTAGCCGCTCCACCACCTCCGTTTCCATAGTCGTTGATTCTTTTGTAAATTGCAGAGTTCGCAATGAGCATTGGATATCGGCCGATTTCACATCGGACTGGGATTCATAAAAAGTTCGTCTGTCATGACTTCTCACCATTCAAGTTTCATCCCTCAAATCGCCTACTTTATTTTTTGTTATTCTATCGTTTAGTCTTCTAGAGAATATTCCAGTTCTCGGTTTCGGAATCACCCTTGATCAATAGAAATGTCGACGGACGTTTTCATAACTAGTTGCAGGATTTTGTGCTCGCAAAATATGAGTCATGTAGTATTCGTATCGTATAACATCAAAAATTTGATTGATTATGTTTTTACCATACACAATATTATTTCGTATTATTTGTACCCTTCATCCTGGCTTGTTCAACGACATTGAGCGGCTCTTTCGTTCTTGACTGCCTACTTATCGACTTCAAATTTAAAACACTCTTTCGCCATTGCGTATTCTGTTAAAAACTGTTTCCAGTATAGTACTGCTATTCGCGCCACTTGAAAACCTTTGCTGAGATCTCTTAATCGTAATGGTTTCGGCAGTTATCGCCATAAGATAGCGAAACTATGTACACCGTAGATAATGAATCGGCATTTCCTTATGTGATGCCAACACCACCAGAGAATCAGCCTGGTGAGCGGAATTTTATCTCGGTGGTGGCTTTTTCTTACTGGATTTTATTGATTTCTTCTCCTAAAATCGTTTCTCGCAAGACATTCTGCTCATTTTCAGACGATGATGGTGGTCACAACGTGCCAAACGGTGGAGCTTCGTCTCCAAGTATGTTTTTATTTTTGTTTGTTTTTTCTCGATTTCCCTCGATTTAGCTATTGGATTGATGAATAATTATTGCTGTTTTTTCCTACAAGTTTTATTCAGTGGAAGCGATAGAAAGTTACTTCGGGAGGAGCATGTGTAGGGCGGCGTTCATACTCTGCGGCAGCGTTCACCAGCGCCCAGGAGTAGAGAGTATGGAGAAGTAGGAGGAGCAGGCAGCTGGATTAGGCGTCGTGAAATTGCGGCGTGTGCAACCGCACTGTACTACTACACAATACTGTACATTAAATTGCATAATTATGTGCTCTACCACTTGCCTCGAATTACCGACGTCTAATTCAGCTGTGTGATACATCCGTACTTTCCCATACTCTCCATTACTGGGCGCTGGTAGCTGGTGGGCTCTAGCTTTCATTAAATCAATGCCTATACTTCCTTAGTCCCTGGAGACGATGGTTGACGCTCCGGACGCTGGTAGACGCTGGCGTTTGCTAGATCGATATCTAGACTTTCCTAGGCGCTGACGCTGACGGACGCTCGAAAGCTGTTGGTCGCTGGTGGACTCTAGTGGTCGCTCATGGACGCTGGCGTAGGGTATGAATGCAGCCTCAATGGTACTTTGAGGCGTGGTCACGTCTACTTCAAGACTTGCTTCCCATTTGCTTGTAGTCAGGTGATGAACGCGCGATCGTTGAAGGCGATCCACGTTTGAAGATCAGTCATCAAGTCATCCGAATCATCACTAATCTTGCTCGTTTGTACACATAGCCTTATTGCGGTGAACACCTTGTGGTATTCCTTTCGATGGCACGCCCGGCTACATAGGAATCTTCTTTCTTCTGACGTCTTCGAAGTTCATTGATCACCCGTGACGAGATTCTTGAGGAACGGAGCTTGATCATTTCGTCGCAGCAGTAGAGTTGCATTCACATCCTGCTTTGTTGTAGTGGAAGACTTCGTGCGAGGAGGGGGGAGGAAACCCTGGCAATCACCATGCTCTTCCGAGCTTTCTGAGACGATGGACAATCGTAGAATGGTTGACACCAAAAGCATCGACGCTAGCGTACGTAATGTCATCGTTTCCCAAAGGTTCTTTTAAGCTTGGTCGGCTATGCTGGAATGCCTTCAGTGGATTTATTAATCCTTCATGGAAAAGCGAGTAGAAAGCATTGTCCGTACCGAAGACAGCCACTTCGACGTGGTGCAATCCCCAAGTCGGCGTTGCGTCTGACCTTGCAGCGTTCATTCCATTGTTGCGCGCGCGTATACCGCAACACTACTGCTTCTCGAATCGTCAGCGATGATATATGAAATGCATCTACTTTATAACAAAGATGTGTTTACTGATGTTTACTTTTGTTTTTTGAATCGTATTTTCTAGGTATTGAGTTTTCTCAGTCGCGACCAAATGGCCTCTCAACCATCTCTGGAGTGTTCGCTCCCGTTGCTCTATCAATGTTCAGCATTTTGCTTTTCATGAGAATGGGTTAGTTGCTTTCCTGAAAGTTAACGTGACATTACGTTGCTCTAAGAAATAGTGCTGGTGGCAATACTTGATTTTCGGAACAAACTTTACCCTCACCTCCGATTACTGTCCTCTGTGATGTGAGCGGTTCCGCAACTGCATTAGCTTGCCGCTTTCTCGGCTCAAAAGTGCACGGAAGGACGCTGGAGGTAGAGATAGCCGAGCTTCGCTATCGCCAGGGTGTGCCACCTGCGTTGATACCAAAATACCGCAGCGAAACGCAGCCATATCTAGAGAACAACCAGAAGTGAGAGGGCGCAGGCGCAGAGTGCGTTTGACTATGGTTGGGTGCCGTCTTTCAACTGCGCCTGGCAGCCGCATAGCCGGTTGTGGCCGGCTATGCGGCTGCCAGGCGCAGTTGCAAGGCGGCACCTAAGTAACACTGTCCTTCGGCCCTTTCCTGTACCTTTTTGAGCAGAGAATGTGGCAAGCTACTGCGACTGCGGGCACCATTCACTTCTCATATGTGGAGTTTCACGGAGGTGAATGTACAGTTCGT